TCATGAGATTTTCCCCTCATTCAGTTGTGAATTATTCAACTAGTTACCCATACTTCACCTTAGAACGATTATTTTTGACTTATTTTCCTATACATAATCTATTGATGGTTCCCAAAAAAATTCAACGTTACTAGGATTGTCAGCAGTAGTTACTTGTGTTTTTAGATTACTGTTACATTTGTTCATGAAGCATTTGTCGCCTCATTATAGCTACAGCATTCCATAATTCTAATATATCACGTATGGCTCTTTCCTCCACAATTTATATGTATCCCTAATTGTCTCTATAATTCTGTGGATTAGCATTAAATGACTAAAAATAAGGAGTGCTTCGAGTTTATTCTCATCACAAAATTTTGCTCAAAATCTACTTGGAGTCGACTCACTAATAATAATTAGGCATACTCAGCGGACAATTTTAGCTAAACGTATGTAGATAATCAATTATCTCATCGGGATGCATTCATTCTTCTTATTTTCATGGTCTTTTGAGTTCGGCACCCTGTACCACAAACTGATCAACTTAGTACCATATTCGAAGCCCAGCTACTCTTCATATCTGTGCGAGGCAACTGCCACATTTGTGGCTTTATGAGAGATATTTCTGAGTAATCTGATTAGCTTCAGTGAGATTTTAGAAAAGTCTGGGCTTAATTAAATCACTATATTCCAGCACAATAATTATAAAAGATCTAAGTGGTTGAAAATTAGTCAATAACTAAATATATTTATCTTCCCGATCAATGGAATTCTTACCTTGAGTAATAGTCAAAGAATTTCTGAAATCACATCTATTTGGAGTGAAAGTGTGTGATGACTGGGTCGGTCCGATCAGGAGACAACGGTAGGCTCCTCTTAGTTACCTGTCGGATGCTGGTTGAAACATTCTTGTTGACGCTGTACCCGAAGCAAGCTTATCCGATTCCAGCATCAACCAAAATGTTCCGGTAGGACCAACCGACAGCTAGCCAAGAGTATTCCGCCGTAGACTTCTGATGAGATCGATTTCCGAATCTCAATCGTTAAGGAGCTGGGCTCAAAACATGCAAACCTGGAGGTTCCTCGAAGACGAAATTGTCTTCGGATACGGTGAAAATATGCAGGGCCACTAATAGAGAACGAAGTAAGATTTATCACATTTTACTTAGGCTAATTTCGTCATTCTAGAGCGTGGAGACCACAAAGCTGTGCTTCTGGCACTTTTTTTAGCATTAGCTGGAATTAAGCGTTGGGCCTTGCTGTGAAGATGTCTGAAAAGTGTTAGCCGAAAGTGTAACACCATTTCGTCAAAGTTTACTTAAGTTTTCCAGGGTCCTACGCACTCTGCTTGAAGTTATCATAACTTTTATGGAATGCATTCAAAGTCTAATGTACGGTTACCTTAGACACGAACTCTACTATCCCAAAAAGCTGAAATGATAAATTCCATCATTCTAGTCAGCATCTTGAATTCTTTAACAAAAGAAGATTTCCAACTGGGGATTCCTAGAGTTTTCTTAAAAATACAATTACTAACACTTTCAGGAATTAAATATTTGATTAAACTGATGAGCCTATTGCAGGGCCTTAAGTAATCTGGAATATTTTAGCAAAGCTCACTGACCCGGCATCCAGACAAAGGTAAAACAAATGATCTGGCGCCATCCACGGTACTTCAACGCCCGGCTGGCTCGATAATGTTTGGCCTTTATGGTACCACCCGCAGAGGCCATCTGCCAGTAAGCACGACGGGTTTCACTGGTGAATAGCAGTATTACCGAAGCGGTCCAGAAGAATGAGGAGGCCAGAAGAAGCCGAGGTCCATACCACCATAAACCAATATGATAATCAAGTGACGCCTGATAAAAATGGAGGATATATGATTATGCATTAGGCACTAAAGTGGATGGGGACTGGAGTATAATCAGTAATTGATACAGATCTTAAGTTAATATCCTTTTCGTTAGAGGGTACTTGAAGGAAGCGAAAAGGTTTGTGGCTACACGAAAGTCCCAAATTAGTGTAACCCTAAAAACTCAAATGGATTGAGGGAACGACAAGCACATTAACTAATTTATAAATTCATTAATTTTTATCTCCCTACCGCTTATATACATGTAGTTGCGATTAAATGACACCATTTAGCGGCAATTATTAGTTCAATCTCTGCTCAATGTTGTTTGCCGCAGCTAAATGGACAAGAGCTCATAATTGATCAATCGACGACCTTCTGAAGACTTTGTAGTTAGAACCGGAAGTCAAATCGTAGAAGCACTCTTCCATCAGTTTGTGGTAAAGCAAGTCTACGACTTTCCACCTAATCTCCATGCATAATAAGGGCTACAAATAATGACGAACTTGTCGCGACTATCTCGTCTTTTACCAGTAAGCTTGGGTCATCGAACAATATTAAAATTAATATA